GGGGTTCTATCAACTTTGATTTCACTCCATCTCTTTGTTTTTCTGCCAGGTTTGCCCACAGGTTACCTGCAGCCGACACTAGATTGAAGGGCTTGTTGCACTTCTCTAAAACCAGTGGGAGTAGGGCAGGGAACTGGTTAATAAAAGCAGCTACCTGAGGAAAGATTTCAGGATCAAAAAAATTTTTGAGGAAAATAATATTAACCTCAAGAAAATGACTTGTTTTGTTCCACCATATAAGGTGCTGATGTAAAAAATAGGAAACTAGTAACACCAAGGTCAAAGGTTTGGATCCCCATACCCTCCAGCTGCCCCCCCAAAAATGCAGAAAATGGGGGACTGGTCAAATAGGTTGCTCTATGGTTGTATATTTAACCTTGCATTGGCTGCATTCAGAAAAATAATCCAGACTGTTCTTACGGTACAGTGTCATGGAAGAGCACTGGTGTAGCAGTCTGGGTTCTAGCCCTGGCTCTGCCCTTTGCTTACTGTGTCCATCTGGCTTTCCAGCTGGATAGTGAAGGCTTTTGGATTTGAAGTTCTCTTGGGACCCTGTCAACTCCATTACACTGACTTTGAGTCTTTGAGGTTGTGGTAGATCCTCATCTCAGTACCACTGTAGTTTTGGTCTATTCTCAAGTAAGATGAGTAAGATGAGGGAGTTGTTTTATGGAGGCACATTGGGTGTGCTATTTGGTAAGGAGATCAAAAGAGGCTTCATACAAATGAATATAAACCCTTAGTTACTGCCACCAGATGGTGATCAGACATTTGAAAAACTTAATTGACTAGAGCTGTGGGTGGGGGAGAAAAAAAAAGACTCCAAGATTGCTTAAGAAATGAAGGAACTATAAGTAAATGCTGTAACTGTATGTCTTAAACCCTGTTAAACTAATCAGCAATAGTATAAACAGTGAAAAGGCAGAGTTACCTATAGTCAGTTTAGGAATCACTCATCACAATGGGGGTTGTGGTCAAAGTCTGTGAAATCATGATGGCTATAACAGAGAATTGATGAATTCATCAAATACCAGTATACTAGAATGAACAAACATTCTTTTTAACCTTAAAATGGTGTTTATTAACACTAAACATGAAAATATAAAGTCGTGTAGTTCAACAAATTCTGGTAAACCTATGCATGAAAGGTCTCTCAATGAACATTAAGTGAAATGAGAGATGCTTGGGGAACATCTTTGAACTCTGGATGTGATATCAAGGAAAGCAGCTGTGCCCTTTCCTTCCTTCTGCAGGGATTGGCAAACTTTTTCTGTAAACTGTCAGATAGCAAATATTTTAGGGTTGCGGATCATATGGTCTCTGTTGAGTCTGCCATTGTAGCATGTGTAGAGTGAAGTAGCCATATAAAATATGTAAATGAATGGGTGTGACTGTGTTCCAATAAAGCTTTATTTAGAAAAACAGGCAGTGAGTAAGACTTGGCTTGTGTGACATAGCTTGCTGACCCCAGTTTGTGAGTGAAAGCTAGTGCAGGGGCATGCCTGGGGTCCTCCCGCAGACCCAGAAGGAGAAGGAGCCTACAGGATTACCCCCGGTGTTGGGACCGAGGGATCTCGGGGAAAAGTGAGCCTGCTGCCTGCCAACCCAGCCCTGTGAAAGAGACACTCAGACGCGGCAGGGGTTCTGTCAGGGCAGTTCCACTTTATTGCCGTTATACTGCAATTTATATAAGCAAGCAAGTAGGGGCTTTCCATGAACTAACCAATCAAAGGATCATGCGGGCATGCATTTTGTACTAACACGTTGAGCATAGGGATCATGCAGGGTTCACGAGTGCGGAAATACTGGATAAAAACCTTTTGGAGCTATCTTAGGTTACGCCTCCCCTACTTCCTGCAGGCGCCATCTTCATCCTATGTCTTAAACCCTGTTAAACTAATCAGCAATAGTATAAACAGTGAAAAGGCAGAGTTACCTATAGTCAGTTTAGGAATCACTCATCACAATGGGGGTTGTGGTCAAAGTCTGTGAAATCATGATGGCTATAACAGAGAATTGATGAATTCATCAAATACCAGTATACTAGAATGAACAAACATTCTTTTTAACCTTAAAATGGTGTTTATTAACACTAAACATGAAAATATAAAGTCTTTTAGTTCAACAAATTCTGGTAAACCTATGCATGAAAGGTCTCTCAATGAACACTAAGTGAAATGAGAGATGCTTGGGGAACATCTTTGAACTCTGGATGTGATATCAAGGAAAGCAGCTGTGCCCTTTCCTTCCTTCTGCAGGGATTGGCAAACTTTTTCTGTAAACTGTCAGATAGCAAATATTTTAGGGTTGCGGATCATATGGTCTCTGTTGAGTCTGCCATTGTAGCATGTGTAGAGTGAAGTAGCCATATAAAATATGTAAATGAATGGGTGTGACTGTGTTCCAATAAAGCTTTATTTAGAAAAACAGGCAGTGAGTAAGACTTGGCTTGTGTGACATAGCTTGCTGACCCCAGTTTGTGAGTGAAAGCTAGTGCAGGGGCATGCCTGGGGTCCTCCCGCAGACCCAGAAGGAGAAGGAGCCTACAGGATTACCCCCGGTGTTGGGACCGAGGGATCTCGGGGAAAAGTGAGCCTGCTGCCTGCCAACCCAGCCCTGTGAAAGAGACACTCAGACGCGGCAGGGGTTCTGTCAGGGCAGTTCCACTTTATTGCCGTTATACTGCAATTTATATAAGCAAGCAAGTAGGGGCTTTCCATGAACTAACCAATCAAAGGATCATGCGGGCATGCATTTTGTACTAACACGTTGAGCATAGGGATCATGCAGGGTTCACGAGTGCGGAAATACTGGATAAAAACCTTTTGGAGCTATCTTAGGTTACGCCTCCCCTACTTCCTGCAGGCGCCATCTTCATCCTCCACCCATAGGCACCATGTGGCTCACAGATAATGTTTCATTATCTTTGATTTCACAGATAATCACAGAGTGACATTTCTATTATTTGTAAGGTCAAATTTTTAAAACTCCAGCTTTAACAAATTTGTAAGTCTCTAAGGCGCAAGGTTTTTCAGCCTTGGCACTATTGACATTTTGATCTGGATAATCCTTTGTTGGGTGTGGGCTATCCTGTGCATTATAGGATGCTTAGCAGTATCCTTGGTCTCTACCCACTAGATACCAGTAGCATCCCCTCCCCTAGCTGTGACAACCAAAAATGTCTTCAGGCATTGCCAAATGTCCCCTGAGAGGCAGAATCACCCCCAGTTGAGAACCACTGCTCTAGAGACTAGAAGAATAACTAGAAGAATACCAATACTGGAAATCAGGCCATGTGACTCAGGATAGCCACCAAGATAACACATTTCTTCAGGTACAAGATCAAAAAAGGCAAAACTAAAAGGAACAGCCAGATTATTAGAAAGAGAAGGGCAATGAGAATTGCCTTCACCCAGTCAAAGCGGGTGGAAAGTTGGTAACACATTACTTTTTTAATATTGATTGAGATCATTGTTCCTGAGACCAGTGAAACCAACTAGAGAGCTGTGTATAATAGGTAGCTAAAAAGTCACCCTAAAACAAGGAAACAGTGAAGAGAGATATAAACAAGATCAATATTAAAGAACACTAAAATATTTACTTTTTCACAGTGTCTATATTGCTTGACGAGATCTTTAGCAGAAAGAATTTATAGTGGGTGAATTCATTATCCTTTACCTATGAGGCCCGAGGGTTTTTTGTTTTATTTTGTTTTGCTTTAAATGGACAAATCAAGTGTGGCTTATTCCTACAATGGAGTATTATTTAGTGCAGAAAATGAATGCAGTACAGCCTCATACAACTACATGGTGGATCTTTGAAGCTAGGTTTTGAATGTCAGTAAAGCTGGTTCTTTAACAAGTTCAGACCACCTCTCTGGCTTGTGATTCAGCTACAATTAAAAGCCAGAATCATCTAAATCAAATAGTAAGAGTGCACTTGATTTCCATCCACCTCTTATTTATGCCCATATTATTTCTTTTAAGAATTGTTTTTCTTACAATTGTGAGTGATATTAATCATAGCTGACAAGACCTGAATATCCAAATGTCTTTGTAAAAGTAGTTTTTCATTTTTGTCTTTTTTGCTTCTGTTTTCCTCTTATTTTCCTTACAATGACTTTAATATAAAGTGATTTTTTCTGAACAGTAATCTAAAGCTCTAGAAGCACTAATTCTACTCTCAGTCTCTGTTTTATCTGTTTGTTTTTTTTGTTTTGTTTTGTTTTGTTTGTTGGCTGGCTGGTATGGGGGATCTGAGGCCTTGACCTTGGTGTTATTAGCACCCTGATCTAACCAATTGAGCTAACCAGCCAGCTGTCAGGCTCTGCTTTTGACTTGCTCTGTGACCAGGGGCGGGTCTCTTTCCCCTGCTGAGGAAACGGTTTCTTCATCTGTAAAATGGTAAGGAGAGTCTCAAACTCTGGTCCCAGGATGGCTACATAAGAACCATCTTTGTTTAAAATTTAGATTTCTGTGCCCCACACCCAGACTGTGATTCTGTAGTCTAGGATAAGGCATGGGAAGCCCTTAACTCTGGCCATGAAGCAAACTTCATGACTTGGATGTTTGCTTCAAACAGCCATGTTTGAGAACAATTAGAGGTGATCTCTAGGATCTTTTCAATTCTAAAATGTACTGGTTATATGAAGTATGTAAATATCCTTTATTAGATTATTTTTTGGAAAGTTTTTTATGTCCTGCAAGAAATAATTGAGATTAATACATTGTAGTCCCCACTCACCCCCACACACATTGATACAGCTTTACATAAACTTGGTTTGCTTATGGCTGGGGGTGATCATCTTGATCCCCAATATATGTTGGAAGATAGTTTCCCTGTTTCCTTGGTTGGCATTTTTATAGCATCTGTTTTCAGACTTGGACTTAGAGAAGAATTAAATAGTTTGATATCCTGACTTCCATATAACATAAAATAGAATAAAATTAGAAATTCTGTCTGGTTGTTAATTTGTTTGTTTGTTTTTCTTTAATTTACAGAATGCTCTTTTCAGCTGCATTAGCAGAAACGAAAGTAAGTATTATTGTCAACGGTTATATACAAGCAGTTCAAAGAGGAAAACACAGTTTATAGAACATTAGCTGTACAAATACTGCCAAGACCCTGGCATTATAACTTAGGCTAGTAAGCCATCTGAGGGAATGATTCTGATAGGCTCTTCTCTCTGGGTGTTCAGGTCATTCATGTATATAACAATTCCCATATCCTAATCAAAGATTTACAAAGCAGATACTACAGCTGGATGTGCCAGAGGAAGATCTTGACCCAGTAGACAGGATCACTTTCAGAAGTTAAGCACACCCACATTACATACTGTAAAACTTGCTGAAGGCTGCCTATCAGTTCATTTGGCAGACATTGATTGAGTACTTGCTCGGTGTGGGGCAGACCCACATCTGTGGGGGACATGACCTGTATACAAGAACTCTGGGACATAGTAGGTTATGAGATAGTGTCACTGACAAAGAGGGATCACATGCTGCAGGGTAGCTTAGAGGTAACTTCATGGTGTTGGTAGCTGAGCTGGGCCTTGAAGGATGGACAAGATGTGAACAATGGAGATGGGAGAGAGGGTATTCCAGGTAAAGAGAACAATGAGAGCAGTTAGAAATGGAAAAACACATCTGAGGAACAAAGATGTATTCAGATTAGTTTGGTGGGGTTATATCCAAGGATAATAAGAAACATTAGCTGTCTGTACTTTATCTTCTATCCTTTCTAACTGGTGCTTAATTCAGGATTTCCCAGATAGTCTCCGGCATGTAATCTTATGTCCTCCAACACTGGTGAGGAAGCCAGCCTGAGGGGGGAATCAGAAGATGGGTGTCTTGTCCTTTCTGTCCTCATCATTACCCAACACCATCCCCAATTTATCCTCACTGAGGCTTACAGTAATAAATGTAGCCATTAATAATTGTTCTTTGTGATGAAAATTAACTCTTCCGCAACCGGTACAGTAAGTTTGCTAGTAATTGCAAGTCAAAAACAAATGGCACAGTAGATATGGAACAGTTTCTTGGTCTAGTCTTGTTCTATATCAGTTAGTTCGGTCATAGTTTAGTTAATTTGTGTATGATTTTATTGTTATCATTGTCATTATTTCTGGAAGTCACCTGAATTCTCTGCTCATTGGTATGTGGAATTCACCAGAAACCTGATGGGTTCCTCCATATCCATCTCTAATAATTATCAGGGATTTCCTACCTGTCTTTCTCTTAACCTCTTCCTGCCACACCTCTACCCTGGCTCCCTTCAGCTTCCCACAGATCCCCTTAGGCCCCTGTGAAGGTCTCTTGCTCTTCTCCATTATAAATCCCACATCTGCACCCCCAGTGACTCATACAGTTCTTACCAGATACTTTAAATGGCAGCCCACTGATACTGGTTTTTTAAAAATACATAAATCTAGAGTCATATTTATTTCAAATGAGTTTTAGTTTTCAGTACTGAAGCAGGTCATATCAATTGTGAGATGAAGACTATCTCAATTGAGGCATATTTTACAGGTGTTCAAACCCTATAGAACTTTTGAGATTTTGTTTCAAGATATATAGATATACAGTTGACACATTTATTAAGTGATCCTGATATCTTTTAGTTTTTACTGGTTCTATTTTATAAATGTGAAGCATTTGGGGTTTTGTTTTATTTTGGTTTTGTTTGTTTTGCTTTGCTTTGCTTTGTTTACAAACCTCCACAAATCTAACACAGAAGGAAGCCGTTTCAGTGGTTCTCGACCTGGGCACTCTTGGCATTTGGAGAGACAGTTTTGGTTGTGTGAGACTGTTCCGTGCATTACAGGACATTTAGCAGCCCTGACCACTGTGCACTAAATGCCAACAGTAGTCCCCAAGTCATCATGACAACCAGAAATACAGTACTTCCACGTGCATCCAGACTCTTCCATGGGGGTGGTACTGCTCCTGTGGAGAGCCACTGAACTGTAGACTATAAATTGACGAATAATGGCTTTTTTATACCAGTGAGCACTTGAATGTCCTATGACTATGCCTACAGTAGTGCTGATTTTAAGTGTGTGTCTTCTATGGCATAGTTTTATTTCTCAAATTCAGAAAGACATTGTTCCATCATTATGATGATGGTTTGATGTTAACAAAATGTTGTTTCCATTTCATTGTCATCTTTTTTCCCCATAGTGGGTTCAGTTTGTTGCAGTTATGCAGGTCATCACACGAACTGCCGAGAATACTGTCAAGCCATTTTTCGAACAGATTCTTCTCCTGGTCCATCTCAGATCAAAGCAGTGGAAAATTATTGTGCCTCTATTAGCCCACAATTAATACACTGTGTGAACAATTATACCCAATCTTATCCAATGAGGAACCCAACAGACAGTAAGTAAAAAAGACATATTCCTTTCATTTCAATCTTTGGTAAAAGAGTTTATAAAAAGTAACTGATACATTCTTATAGAAATCTGCAGTCTGGGTCATTTGGGGAACGGCAGACTTCCTTTGGTGTTTAGATTTGGCAGATTGGACATTATTGTCACAACTAAAAGTGCCAAGAAAGGTGAGACTGTCAAGGGTATGAGGAAACAGGAATCAGGAATTCTCTATTCTGAGGGTGGGAGAGTTTATTGGTATGGATATTTTGAAGGAAGTTGGGTGATGACCATTAGAATTTCAAATGATCATACCTTTTGATCTAGCAATTCTATTTCTCAGAAATTATTCAGTAAGAAAACTTACAGAAATTTGTGAAAATATTTTGTGTATTGCATGTAAAGGATGTTTACTACAACACTGTTGTATCAGAGAAAATAAAAAATAACCTAAACATCCGTTAATAGGGTGTAAAGGATGTTTACTACAACACTGTTGTATCAGAGAAAATAAAAAATAACCTAAACATCCGTTAATAGGGTGTAAAGGATGTTTACTACAACACTGTTGTATCAGAGAAAATAAAAAATAACCTAAACATCCGTTAATAGGGTGTAAAGGATGTTTACTACAACACTGTTGTATCAGAGAAAATAAAAAATAACCTAAACATCCGTTAATAGGGTGTAAAGGATGTTTACTACAACACTGTTGTATCAGAGAAAATAAAAAATAACCTAAACATCCGTTAATAGGGTGTTGATTAAGATTGATTAAACAAATTATGATATATAATAACAACACTTTACAACCAACAAAAATAAAGGAATATATTTATATAGAAAGAAGTCCAAGGCTGGCCGGTTAGCTCAACTGGTTAGAGCACAGTGTTATAACACCAACATCAAGGGTTCTGATCCCCATATCGGATAGCCACCAAAAAAAAAAAATAATCATCATCATAGTATTTAGTGATCTATTTATTTAAAAAAAAAGAAAGAAAGAAAGAAAGGAGTCCAAGATATATTAAGCAAAAAGAGAAAAAGAACAAGTTACAGAACTAAGGTATAATGTGATACATTTTTAGTTATATACCTAATTGTTCCACATTATATATTTCTGTTTGAATTTTTACCAGTGAGCAGTTATTACTTTTATAATAAAAAAATCATAAAAATGAGAAGAAAGCCTTATTGTTTTTTTAAATCAAGGTTTCCTAATGAACCTGTACCTTATGGGGGTCCTCAGAGTCTTAGCTTTGTACATCCTGAAATCCATTTTCTTCATCTAAAGGTTATCAGATATTGAAGAACTGACCGATTAACCAAACTGACAAAAGACTGATTTATAAGCCAGATGGCAATGTTTTGATTTACCCTGGGATGTCAAAAGGTTTGTTTTTGTTGTGTGCCGTGTTTGGCCACCATCTAAACCAGAACTCTAAGGCTTTTGACATTCTTTGGTGTGGCTGTGTGGTAGAAATCAGAGGATTAAGTATTTGCCACAAATAGTCTTCATATGTTTTAAAGGCAGATCTGTGTTCTCTGACATTTAAGCTATACAAAATTGCTGCTGGAGCTAAGGAGATAGCAGCTGAAAACAGAGAGAGATTTTAAGGATAGAAGAACAAACATCTCTAATGTCTGTGCTAACACAGAGGAATCTGGAAAAGAAGGCTACAAACTGACATGTTTGAATAGGTTTCTTCTAAAGTCAAAGACACCAGAGAAAATTACTTCAAAGAAACCCTTTTGAATTTTATAGTCTGATTGAAAGTGTTCTTTCATTTTCTGGTTCTTTGTAGAAAATTAAAGGCAGAAGCAAACTGATATCTTGTCAGATTTTGCTATTGTATTATTTAAATTACAACTTACGTTAATTAACATATGTGTGTGTGTGTGTGTGTGTGCGCGCGCGCGCGCGCTTATGCTGTCCTGGAATATGATGAAATATGGTATTTGCATTTGTTGCTATTGTGTGTGTGTGTGCGCGCGCGCGCTTATGCTGTCCTGGAATATGATGAAATATGGTATTTGCATTTGTTGCTATGAGAATTAGTCATCTCTGTCTTGTCAAGAACATAATCCCTTTTAGGTAGTTGTTTCTACCAGGAAATAATTCCAGTTTGATATACAGTACCTTTTTTTTTTTTTTCCTTTTTGTCTTTTTTCGTGACCGGCAACGGATCGCAACCCTC